TCTTGAGACAAGCCTGAAAGTGGACCCCTGATAGTGTGCTTCCAGAACCCTTTGGATAGGAAAAATAACGTGCAAAGATTTAAGAATTTGAATTATTTTTTTGTTCTGTTACTTCTTAAGAAATCCAACTTGGAAAAGGGGCTTTGGAAAATATTTGCTAGTATATCAATTTACTTTCAGGCTGTGTTGGGACCACGCACTGCTTTGTGGTGAATAAAACTTGTTAGTAAACCCTATGGTCAATCTTGAAACTTTTTTTTTAGAATTCAAGGTGTCATTTTACTGATAAATACAGAGTTGGATTTTAAAATATCTCGGATCCAAATGTTCTACAAGTCAGCCGGGATTTCTATGGGGTCATTTTCGTTGCATGATGACAGGGGTGAGATTTCTCAGCTGATTTCAGCTTTTTTTGGTTTTGAATTTCAGCTTTTTTTCCTCACTGGCTGTGTACAAAAGTATTGTAGATTTTCACAGTTCAGCTTCTTTATGCCTTTTTTCAGCTGTTTAATTACAGCTATATTTATCATTGGTCAATCTCATCCCTGAATTGATGAAACGTGGATAAAGCTTTTAGACAAAATTGTATAGATTTTCACTAGGCATGTACATGTATACAGGTATTTTGTTTGACTCACATCCAAGAAGAATGGATAACTTTGATATGACTTGGTTGTGTCCTGTTCATCTGTGAAACCAAATATTGAGATTATGCATCAGATTTAAGCAAACTGAGAAGTCTACAATTTCACCGCAACTTTTTCTGTGATGCTGAAACACCTCACTGTGATTTGGTAGACCTGCATTACATGAAAATTTTGGCCCTGAGAAGCAGTTTAATCTGCTAGATGCTAATCATGTCAGAGCGGTAATCCATTGCAAATTCCATGTCAGTGATATGGAGCAGGTGAACTTTGTCCAGCCTGCCTACCCAACAGTGACTGCTCTGATAGGTAACCCGGGGCTTCATCCCACAATGCAGTGTGATAGCACCATCAGTAGGCAGCAGGTATTTCCTTTGGCAGTGTGCCAGATGTCAGGGTCACCTGAGGTCAGCTGTGAAATTTACATGTAATGGCATTTGAGGATTTGTTCACCTAGTACCCATAACTGTACATGTACAATGTACATGTACATAGAGGGCCTACCAGTGCACGTTCATGTACCTGTACCAAACATGTTCATGTATTGTACATTGTGTGTACACATTGAGCCATATGATTGTTCTTACCGGTACGTGCAATGCATGTATGAGACATACTAGTACAGTACATGTACACAAACACTCTGTACTGCTGTGCAGCATGCATGACATGTTAATTGTACATGGATACCATGTGATGATGTTTGTTATCGTTGCAAATGAAAATAAGGTCGGTTTCAAACTAATTCCGTTCATGCACAAGATAGCATACATTTTATGAGTATGTAGCAGTGTTGTGCATTGCAAACCCACAGTAACACTTGTGTCTGTATTTTACTTCATTTCTGTAGTTTTCATAAGACCCACAAAGTGAATGCCAATCTGACGGTGTCTTGCTTGGCTCTGCTGCGTTCTGTTGCTTTTGAGTAACTCATGGCCTAGGGGAAACATTGACCATTCAGGAGGTTGTGTGGAGAACTATTTTAACACGCAAGTCTTAGGGCAAGTCCAAACTTGTGCAGATGTTGTGATATTTCGAGACTCCTTAAATCCTCTTGACTATTCTGCATGAGACCTGTTAACAGAAACCTGGGTACGTTCTGCCTCCAAGTTCAAACTGACCTCTTTATTGACCCCTCTTTATCTTTGTGTTTCCGTTGAAGCCTTCTAAGCTCCACATCTTGCTCCCATTCGTTTTCATACCCCTTCGTTTTCACACCCCAACATGTGACAATGGGCCATTTCACACATGTAGAACATGTGCATACTCTGAATGTCAAAGACTGGATAGCAGGTAGCATTCCAATGCAAGTTGTCATGGTCAGTCGAGTCTTGTTCAGTGGAGTCTGTTGGTCAGCCACCATGGTCCTGGTGGTCTAGAGCTGATGTCCAGCACTGGATCCAGTAGTCATCAGTAGTTCCTGACTCTGTGCCCATTACAACCATTCATTTATGTACAATGTCAAATGCAGATGTATAAATTTTGTGTCTCAAATTTAACACTCTACTTTAAATACACCCCACAGGATTGGCCCACCTGTCCTGTAATAAATTAATCACATTTTAGAAAATTGGAATATGCTAATATATAAAACCACTGTACAGTCATTGGAAATGAAGCTTAAGACCAGACATACATGTATACCAGTATGTTGACAAATTATAGTGTAATACAGGTGTTAACTTTAATGGTATACCAGTAAATGTACATATCTACACACCATGCATGCCCATATAATGTACATACCCATCCTCAGGGACAGGCAAGTGTTGCCATCCCTTGTAAAATGCAAAGCCTGATGATGCTCCTAGGTGCCAGTCATGTCTTATTACAATGTGTGGTTAGGATTTAGTGTTAGAGATAATGAACTTTGTGTTATCAGTAAGGGCTGGTGTACATGTGCAGGTACATGTATGAGCCCTTTGAATATAACAGTCACTGAATCAATGACACTAGTTGTTCTGTAATTAGCTCCCTGGCTGTCTACTACTGACTTCACTTTGGGTCAGCCTTCAGGGACATACAGGCACATACATGTAAATCGTGTTTGTTATCCAAAAATCTCTTCCTGGTTTGGCTGGCAAAATGGGTAGCTGAAAGTCCTCTGTTATCATTTGTTGCAACTTTCCTAACCTCTCCTTCCAACGCCCGAGGCCTTTTCACTAGGAACCATCCTCAATCCTCCAACCATCCTCAATCCTCCAAATTCCTCTGATTTTCAACATGAAAAATTGCATTCAGCCTCAATCCTCCAAAATTCTCAAAATTTTCTTGAAAATGTTACTTGGAGATGTGTCTACTGCCTTAATCCTTCAAAATCTTCCCGCAATTCCTCTCATTATGTTGAGACAGTGTGAACGGCATTCTTGAGCAGTGCATTTGTTTCAAAATAAATATTGGCTAAATTCATGCATGACTGAGCAAGAACAACACTAGGTCTTACCCACGACCTTCACTCATGGCATCCTTCAAAATCAGCCATGCACTTTTGCCTTTCACCCTCAATCCTCCAAAACTGCCCAAAGGATTTTGGAGGATTGAGGAGGGTTAGGATAAAAAAAATCTTCTAGGTTTAAGAGACAGTTTTGTTGCAATTTGAACCATTATCCATTAGTACTTTTGTCTCAAATCTTTTTCTAGGTTAAAAGAAAAATGGTACATGTACAAGATCACACTACTGAGATAACACTAAGTAGTGTTATCACTAAGTAGTGTTATCACTAAGTAGTGTTATCACAAAGAGCAGTTCCAAAATACTAGGCTAGTTGTGTGATCAGCAAATCGGAACAGAAAAGCCAAGGTTCTTAGAAACAATCTTGCCTACAAGAGACAATATCTGTAAAATCATTTAAGAAGAGAGTGTTGTGAAATGGTAGAACAGAGGTAGTACCTTACATACATGAAGATGACTTGGTTTACATTTTGTTGGTGGTATGTGAAGCCAATCACACTTGGGTTTGATTGCACCAATGCATGGATGATATCCCTCTTGGATAGACTTAACTCTCCGCCTCCATACTTGGTTGCATCTGGGAATATCGTCTGCATTACCCTATCATTTAATTACCACACTGTCGTACATGGGCAACCCTAGGCCGCCTCCTAAACCTAATTATCTACTGCTTGTCATTAGTTCCGGCAGCTTTTCCGAGATAGCTCACAGCGATGCATTTGACTGTACTGGCCACCGCTGCTAATTTCCCCCCCCCCCATATGTAGACTTGTTTTGGGGTTAATATTTTCCCTACCATTTTCACTTACTGGTTACAACTGTTGGCTCAAGAATGCCTACTGAGAGTGGTATTTATTCCAACTGTGAGCTGGATATTGGAAGGTCACTGACCAGTCTTGAAACCAGTGATTTTTTTTTTCATTGTCCGTAATCTGAGGTTTCAATAATGAGATAACCTGTGGTTATGGGACACTAAGTCCAACTTCCCCTGTCAAGGCAGCTCTGAGAAGAACTGACAGACTATCAGGAGTACTGCCACTACTCATTTTACATGATTGATGTCAATGATTGTTAATATGATATTAATATATTTTAAGAGAAGCTACATGTATATTGTCCTCCAGATGAGAAGTGTGTTTCCTAAAGTGGTCAGCATGGCTCGATATATTAGGTTTTTGTAGGACTACAACTATTGAATGAAATATCTGGTTTTGCCCTTGCCAGTTGAAGGAATTTTATTCATAGTCATATTTAGTAACTTTAATTATTTTTCTGGTGTGTTGCACAAAAGAAACAATCGGGGTGTAAATACTGTCCTCTACCATATATATGCTGTACATGAAAGTACCGTACTGCTGCTGGTTTGGAATTCATGTGCTGTACATGAAAGTACCGTACTGCTGCTGGTTTGGAATTTCTGTTTAAGCTGTTGCAATATAAGAAAACTTGTGGCATCCCCATCAAGATGTTTTCGTGACACAAGTCTCATCTAATCATTGAATTAACCTTTGAAAAAGTACAGATTTTTTTTATCCTTTTAGGCTATGCTGTAAAACGTAAACCAAACATGATTGCTTGTTGAATCATACATCTGCAGGCATCTGAGTGAAAAACTGCCTTATGATTACTTAGTTCTTGTCATCAACTGACTTTCATTCTCTCAAAACATCAAAGTGGTAAAATGGGAAATTTCACTATGCATAAATTTTCAATCTCCAAAATAGAACCACCTGGTTAAGTCTGGGGCTGGTAATTAAGAAGTTAGATTTGGTATTCTTCAGCTGTTTGGTTGGTGACTCAATAATAGCTGATTTGGAGTGGAGCCTGCATTATAGCAATAATTTGAGTGTTTATAATGTTTGATGATAAATATTTTTTCTTTTTCTCTGTCTTATTTCTTGTAGAATTCCATCAGACATAATCTGTCGTTGCACAGTCGCTTTGTGCGAGTGCAGAATGAAGGCACTGGTAAAAGCTCCTGGTGGATGATCAACCCTGATGCCAAGCCTGGCAAGTCCTCCCGCCGACGAGCTTCAAGTATGGACACCAACAACCCTAAGTGGGAAAAGAAGCGTGGCCGAGCTAAGAAGAAGGTCATGGATGATGCCGGGAGGTCCAAGTGGAGTACCAGCCCTACTCCTAAGTTTGAAGGTGAGCCTGAGACGCTGGCACTTACCCTGAGCTCAGAGTTCCGCTCCAGGGCTAGCTCTAATGCCAGCAGCTGTGGTCGTCTGTCTCCCATCAATCAGATCAGCGACATGCATGATAATGAAGTCCCGCCAATGTCACCAGGGCCATACGATCTGGGCCACCACCAGACACAACCCTACGAAAGCCCTGATCACTTGCATACTGACCAACTGGCATCCCTCGCCAAAGCCATGAGTCTGAATACCTCCTTGAATGGATCAGTCAGCTCAGATCTTAACAGTCCAGTAGAGCAGCTTCGAGTCCCAACTCCTATGAGACCCTCCCCGAAGCACACAAGCCGTGGGAACCTTTTCCAGAACAGCAGTATGTACTCACCAGCACCTAGCTACAGTGGATCTGATGTATCCCCTGTCCACAGTAATGTACAAAGCCCAGCCTACAGCCCATATGCCCAAAATTCAATGAGTCCAATTCCACAGCAGCGTTGTTCTCCATCGATGAGTGTCACTGACATGTCGCAGCCATTCAGTATCAATGTACCTCAGCCACAGCAGTCAGCCTTCTCTGTGATGTCCCATCAAGATGGTAGCATGACCACAAACGGCGCCATCCTCTCCAAGCGTGATCCCATGCTATCCCATTCCACTCTTCAGCCAGGTACCCCTGGCAGTATGATGCATCAGCGTCCGACCAATCTGCAGCCCACATGTCGCGTCCAAACCAACATGTCACAAGGCCGGGCCCTACAAGGCTTCAGTCCACAGACTAGCCCCAGCAATCCTCTGTCCATGCTACAACTGAATCCCGCCATCACGGCCTCCCAGAATAACCAAATGTCTAGTCCCACCCACAATGCCATGAATGTCCAATACAGCCAGTCATCGATGAACCAACCTGTTCAAACCATTCCTTTGAGTACATCTAGTGACAGGGTTCCCAGTGACCTCCAAAATCTGAACGTTGATATGATTCGTGAAATGGACTGTGACATTGATTCCATAATTCATAACGAGCTGATGGATGATGGCAACCTAGATTTTAACTTTGACGGACTCATCAACCAGACTGTGACATCAACACCAAGTTGGGTGCATTAATAGGAAGCAGGTTAGTATACCTTTTTGCAATGAAATGAACCTCTGAGTCATATCCAAATTTGTTGAAACTTTCACTTTAAACCATCAAATGTGAAGTAAATGTATCCTGAATGTTGAGAGCATAGTTTGAATCTACAGTATTTTGCAATCCATTAAAAAAACAGCATGTTGATTCTGAAGTGCTAGTGTTTTGCCTTTAATCCTCATCTTGTGCTCGTTTAATGGCAACTTGTACTATGGCCGTATCCAAAAT